GAACGTCCAAAAGAAGTTGAGCTGAGCATTCGGGGACCTAACGGCCCAGGCCCTCACACTTATGCCAACACAGACAGAGGACGAGCGCGGGTTAATAAACCTACAAACGTCCCCAGAGACAAACAACAGAGGATACCCTCCCTCTAGACGGGAACATGTACGTCCCTATTGGACCGCCAAGGCCCGTTCACATAAATGGCCCAACACAGAGATCCTGTGAATAAGGCAAATCGTTCGGATATCCAGAATGCAGTAGGCAACCGTCGCGTCAGGAGCATCGCTTCTCTCTCCGGAATTCATGGCAGAGCGAGGTATACCTTTTTTCCTCCGTTGGGATTTTTTCTCACAGGGTTTTTTCCTCAGCGGAGTTTTTAATGAGGTACCCCTCTGCCTATGACTTGGTAGACGCCAAGGGTATTGGCTGGAGAGGTACGTCGAATTCAATTCTACTTCCTTATGTCCCGCGCATGCTCGGAACATCAGAAGTGGGGGGCTTGTGTTGGGTAAATGGCCCAAATAGGACCGACCCATTAACCCCTGAGGCCCACCGGACGACCGTCCCCAAAGCCAACAGTTTGGGGACAAATACCATCAGAGTGGTCCAAGTCGGTGACGGCGTTCGGCTCCTGCACCAAAATAGCAGTAAGCGGTGACGACGTACGACCTCCTTTCATGAGATATCTAAGCAGGCAAACAGCGCATCAGGAGACGTACGTCAGGAGATACAAAGTGGCTCAGCAACTTGGAAGGCACCACGGGACACCAGGCTGCCAATGCCTGGGGACGACCGTCGCCACCCATTGGCGGGAAACCATGCTAAGGAAGACACCGTCACGTCAGGAGCGTCGGCTAAAGGCAGTACGAACGTTTCCAAGGACTTGGGGCAACTGGAGACGCTTCCCCCCGTACTTCAGGGGACGTACGTCCCCAACAAGCCAGCAAGGCCCAATTGCATGACATGCGTATCCTAGCGTAGGCAGATGTCTTGGCCCAGGGGCAACACCGAACGCTCGTCTTGCGGGACCTTGGACCCCTTGGCGGGAAGCCAAAGATCCTGGCGCGAAGCGCATTTAATGCATGAGATTTGGTAGTTGGCGCATTTAATACAGAAGATTCGGTGGTTGGGATCTAGTCATCTACACCCTGCCACGTCAATGCACCCAACTACCCATTGGTAGTATAAACAGTAGCATTTATTTCATTGTAAAGGGTTGCCATCTTAGCACTCTAGCATTCTAGCAATTCTTAGCAGCTCGTAGCATAGCAGTGGGACGAACAGCCTCACGCCTTTGTAACCGCAGAATTATATTGAAACTTCTTATTGGGCTTTTCTTGCTTGTTTCTCCATCCATCTACTAATTCTTCCATTCGAAACCCTTGGGTCGTGTGTTGGGCCTACGGGTTGAAGGAATAAACTTCAACAAGTAATATTCATGTTATTTTATCTATCTTCTATCGGTAAAGGGGCAAAAACATTATTGAATGATATACGGAGTAGAAGATAAAATTGTTTTTGTGTAGTTTTAATTCTTTAAAATATATGAATTAAAAATGTATGATAAGTCGAGAAGATATACTATATAATACTTCGGAAGAAATTTTATGTTTTAATTGTCAATTATTAAAATTAATTATATACGGATTATAATATATAAATAATACTTCCTTCATTCTTTTTTAGTTGCAGCTGTTAATTTTTCACATTTGCCAACACACGTCTTTGACCGTAAATATATATCTACTTCTCTATTAGTAAAAAATTAAAAATTGGATTTCAAAAATTTGTTATGAGACGAATTGAACAATATTTTATAAATAAATAATTTTCACAAAATAATAGTGTAAAATGTAGTCAAAGTAGAGCATGTGAATAATGTAAAATTCAACATGTTGCGATTAAAAAAATGGAGGATAGTATAAACAAAATGTAAACCCAAACTAGATTAAGGTTGTTTTATTTTGACTAAAATTTTCAGGTGTAGTCTGAACTGGTCTGAACTTATTTTGTCTTCTTCGATAGATGTCTGGTCGACTGGTCTCTATGCATTTTATAAATGTCAAGGTCTGATCTGGCCTGTTTATGTCTTGTCAGGTCATCTGATATGGTATGAGATTAAAATATTCCAAGAGTTTCTAAAAATAGATGAGATCACATCAGACTAAAACTGATCGGACTAAATTACACTAGATCACACAATCTAATTAGACCATCATAATTTCTGTAATTCAACATTTTTTGGCACATGTTTATTTAAGACAATTGCCCACACAAAATTTTGTAGGCTTGAGGATGTGCTTTAGTGACAATTGTGGAGTGTATTAGTGTATAAGTGTATTTGCCTTTACTCCAAATTATCCATCTATTCTGTTAGTCACGGTTAGAGAAGGGGGAAGGTGCCCTCTTTAAATCAGGGGTGGATTCAGGCCGGGCTGGGTCCGGCTCGGGCCTAGGTCCGGGCGGGCCGCCAGTTTTGAATAGGTGGGCCCGGGACCGGCCCGGGTAGCCACCGGATCCGGGTCGGGCCGTGCCTCGAGTCAATTTTTTTTTAGAAAAGTACGGAAAAAGTACTAGTGGTAAAGCTCGTTTTCAGATAGGGTCATGTGTTTCATTCTTTATCACAGTAGTTCATGTGTTTGAATTCCGTTATCACAAGAGGGTCACACCGTTAAAAACGTCTGAAAAAGACCGTTAAAAGTAACTCCGATTTCCAAAAGTGCCCGAAAAATTAAAAGAAAAATACCGAAAGGTACACCTCGTCAAGATGACCTCCAAACCACCTTCGCTTTTGGATTTTTCAGATCTGTTTGAATTATTTTTTTAAAATGATTTCGCTAATATCACTTTTCCGATGAACTTTTCGGTGATAAGGGTGGCTGAAAACAAAAAAAGAAAGATGACCTAGCGATCATCTTATTGAGACGCATCTTCGAGTATTTTTCTTTTAATTTTTTGGGCATTTTTTCAAATCGGAGTTACTTTTAACGATCTTTTCAGACGTTTTTAGCGGCATGACCCTCTTGTGATAACGGAATTCAAACACATGAACCACTTTGATAAAGATTGAAACACATGACCCTATCTGAAAACGGGCTCAACCACAAGTACTTTTTTTTGTACTTTTCCCTTCTTTTTTTCTTTTCCTAATTAACCCCCCTCCCACCCCTGACCCCCCAAACCACTCCAAATGGCCCAAAATACCCAGCCCTACCCGAAAAGTTTAAAATAATGAAAAAAAAAAACTGGAACCGAGCCCGCACCAGGAACCCCCAAGCCGGGCCTACCCGGACCGGTCACTGGCCAGGCCACTGGGCCGGGCTGGTTCAACATAGTGTCGATTTCGGGTCAGGCCACCCGGCCCAAGTCCACCCATACTTTAAATGTAATACAAAGATTTTTGCTCCAAAATTAAGTTTATGGGTAGGGGTGGACTCAGGTCCGGGCCGATGGTTCAGGAATGGTGGACCAGGGATCAGCCCAGGTAGCCACCGGGTCCGGTCCGAGCCTCCGATTTGTTTTTTTTTTTAATTTCCTACCCCCCCCCCCCCCCTCACCCCCACCCTACCAAAACCCCCCAAACCCATCCTAACCATCAAGCCCAACCCAGGTGGAACCCAAAAAATGAAAAAAAAAATCAATTTGGCCCGGGCCCAACCCGGCCGGGCCGGTTTACCAAATGTGAGACCCGAGCCCAGACCCGCTCTACCCCCTGGGTCTAGGCCCGACCCGGACCCAGACCCGAGAACCGGGCCGGTCCCGGTCCCGCACAGTAGCGGGCTGGGTGGCCCGACCCATGTCCAACACTATTTATGGGCTTGGATGCACAACTCTAGGGTGCTTTTTGCCCCTTTTCCCTCCAAATAATTGTCTAGCAATTCTGAAAACCAATGTGTGATTAACACTCAATTTACATCATTCCAAATAGGGATGGATTCGGTTCGGGCCACCCGGCCCGTGACCCGGCCCGGCCCGATACTGTGCGGGCTCGGGACCGGCCCGGTTCGGGCGGTCCGGGACCGGGTATGGGCCCGAACCGGTGGGAAGGGCGGGGCGGGCTCGGTTCAGCATTTTTGTGACCCGGCCAGGCCGGGTCGGGCCCGGGTCCGGTCCAATTTTTTAAAAAAAAAAAATTGTTTGGGCTCCTACTAGCCGTTGGGGGTGGGGACAACCCAAACGGCTATATAGCCGTTGGGTGGGGTAAAGGGGGGGTCCGGGGGGGTTGGGTGGTGGGGTGGTTGGTGGGGGGGGGGTGGGGGTAAAAAAAAACTATAAATACTCCTAATCTTAAACATTTTTTCATATCTCTTCTCCAATTCTTCCTATTCTTATCTCTCTACTCTCTAATTCTCTTATTCTCCAATATATTATATATCTACTCTCATATTCTCTTCTCCAAGAAGTTAAGATGGAAAATCAAAATGCCATTATACGGTATAATTTTGATAAGCAGAAGAACCCGAAGACCGGGATGTGGTACGCAATTTGCAAATGGTGCGAAAAAAAATGTATAATGGGGGCTTCGGGCGGATTCGGGATGACAATCAAGCATATGAAGTCATGTGACAAAGCCAAAGGATCGGGAGGTGCAGGAAGTTCCGATTGATTACAATTTTCAAAATGTTTATCTCTTATATGTAGTTCCTATTTCATTTCAAATAAATGCAATTGAAGTTTGTTTTTAATACTCGTATAAAACTATAAACTATAAATATAAATTATAAAAAAAAATATAACCGGCCTAGCCCGAACCGGACCCGACCCGTGACCCGGGCGGGTGGCCCGGCCCGAACCGGACCCATCCAACCCGCGGGCTGGTCCCGGGCCCACTTTTCTTGAACCGGCGGCCCGACCGGGCCCGACCCGGCCCGAATCCATCACTAATTCCAAATAATTTTCTAGATGATGTTGGAAATCCTGAGGGATGGTGTCATCCTTTTTTTGAAATGTCACTACTAGCTTACAAATATTGCCAAGTGCTAGATTCCCTCTAGTCTACGCTGTCTACTCAGTAATGAAAAATCCATATAAAGTGAAATCTTCGGTGGAAGTGTGGAACCAAAATAAAAAGTACACACAAATTCAGCCAGTCTACTTGATTTGACTAAACAAACCGGCGAGGATAAAAAGGGTTCTAGGATACAGCCATTCCGTGTGTTACAGGATGCATGTTAGAGTTACTTCAGCGTGTGCAATGTAGGGGTGATTGTAGAACGATAAAGAAGTGTACATAACATTCCCCCAACTCTTTGTCCACACAAAATATGAATACAACGTTAGAATCAAAATTTTATAGTACATCAGGGGTTTGTAGGGCCACGAGCCACTCTGAAGAGAAACCAAAACACAAGTCATTGGGACAACGGAATTAGTTCTATTCATAGTGAGAGATGGCAACTAAATTGACAAAAAACTAAACCCTTTTCTTCCTCTCAATACTTGCAGCGGCCCGCCTTTGTCGGTGCTTCCACGCTGGCATCTTTCCTGGGAAGGCCCATCTCAACAACCGTTCCCATGTATAGCAACACAAGAACATGAGGACAGCCCATATAAGCAACTTATCCCTCAAACCCTTTGGCAGTGGAACCAACTTCAACCAATCGTTCAAGCTCCTGAACATATCAGACGTTATAACAGTAAAAAAGCCAACAGCAGCCCAGAGGGCATAAAGGAATGGCTTGTTTTCTGATATGCTCTGGTTGAAAGGGCGACCCATGTAGTTGACTGCAAAGGTAGCAACCTGCAGCATCATGCCCACCATGTACGAAACTGTGTTCACAAGGTTCGGGTGAAAATCAGAGTCCGGCTCAATACATTCATCCGGCATGTATTTCCCAGCTTCATTGACAGAAGAAATCAAGAAAAAGATGTGAACAGAGAATTGGCCAAGAAGAGAGAGAAACACATAGGCACAAAAGATGTTAGGGTGGGGTCGCTCGATCGAGAGGTTTTGTATCGGGCGAGCATGTGAGATGAATAGAAAGAAAGCGGCAGTGAATACGCCGCTAATTGTGGCTTGGACATCACCAAGTTTTACGCCGTCAAGGTACATCACGCTCAACACGTAGGCGGTTGCGAGGCAGTTAAGTCCAAGTATCTTGAACATCTGGAGGGTGGTCACAAGGGTGCTTCGGCCTTGACGGATGATATCTGTGGTGGGGGCCACCGAAGCGTGCTTTGCAGTGAACGGTGAAGCCATCGAGGCATCCCCGAGTTTGACTATAGGGGCTTGACCATCACCTCCACCCTCGTTCAGTTCATCCATGATTTTCTTCAGCTTCTCACGTTGCACCTCAGCTTGCGTGAGGTGGCGACTACCACCACCAGCTTGGCTACTGGTGGATTCTAACCTAGAAGTACTTCGGCCTTTCATCGTAGTGTTGTCTCCGTTTTCAGTTCCAGGCTTGAGTTTCTTCGACTTGGGATTGGACTTTGATGTTTCAGCTTTGGATGATCCATCAGATGCAGATCTCCCAGCTTTGGAAGGGGGAATAATTGCATTCAGCAGAGCCACTCCAACATGTGCCTGAAGGGAAAAAAAGTACACATTCAAATCGAAGTAGTCAACAGGCTCCATAAACCATAATCACAAAAATTAGCTACCCCTGAAGGTGTTACAAAAAACTGTGCATTTATCAGGCTAAGTAGGTGAGAAAATAGAAAAAAAAATGTGCATTTACCAGGCAAAGCCACTTCAAATAGAGGATTTATTTTCTCTTTTTTTACAAGAAATGAAGGAGTTGCAAAAAACCGTGCATTTATCAGGCTAAGTAGATGAGAGAAAATAGAAAAAAAACACAAACTAACTTTTGCCTATTAAGTACAGAATATGCAAAGCTCTATCTTCAAAGATATAGCTTGAAAGTTGAAAGCATGATACTACTGTTTGGAAGATCTATCTTCAAAGCTAAACGCTAGAAGCTGAGAGTTGAAAGCATTTGGTTAAATAAGAAGGTAAAGCTAATAAATGACGAAGAGTTGGAATACGTTAATCTTTCAACAAATTAACAAACAATGGATTGGATGTGTGATTTTTTCTAAAGTAACAAGGTTATAACATTATAAAGAGCATACCTTCAAGCTCTTATTTATTTACATAAGGGAAAATAGCCATATAGAGGAGTAAACTAATCCCTAAATGTACAAATAGGACTATGTTGTTTATCTTCCCAAAATAGGACTAAATCGGAAGATAATATTTTAATTTGTAATTGTTAGATTGATGAATGAAAGCAAGGGACAATTGGAGATATGTGAGAATTGTTATTGATAAATTTTTTGATACATGAAACTGATTGTCAGCACTTTATATATAGCTTAGATAGATTATTCTAGACCTCTAAAAGACTAATTAATACAAGAAGTCTAAAAGACCCATCCCTTTGTATTTGTGTTGCTGGACAAACTTAATACATACTCTCTAGAACAATCTAAAATAATCAGGATGCTTCTAAGAAAAAGTCTCATGCTTCAACACTCCTCCTTGAGTAATAATAAAATCGTAAAAATATGAAAAAAGTCAAAAGTATATTAAAAAAAATAGTAAAAACAAGAAAAATTAAGAAATAAAAAATAAAAACTTTAAAAATAAATAAAAAGTAGATAAACCACATAAAAAATACGGAGGTCATTCCTGCAGGCTCTGCCGCCTCCCAACAATGCCACCTCTGATCGGCAAAAAATGCCATTTTTGGTTAAAAAATGTCATGAAGACAACATTTTTACTCTTTGAATTTGAAAACGCCAATTTTTTCTCTAAATTGCCATCAAGATGGCATTATTGACACATTTTGGCATTTTTTCCAGTGGTCGGAGCTGGTGGTGCTGGGAGGTTGTTGAGGCAGCAACATAGGAATGAATATTTTTTTATTTTTAACGTTTTTTTTTTACGTTATTTGTTTTATAATTTTATAATTTTTTTCTAATTTTTTATATTTATTAATTTTGTTTTATACTACCTTTGTTCCATTTTATGTGTCCTGTTTTGGTTTGGCACATCTATTAATAAAGTGGTTGAAAAAGTAAAAGTTGTGGTTGAGATTTGAGTATAATAATGTTAAATGTTATAGACCACTTATTTCTTTCCATAAAAATGAAATCACAATTAATCATCATCATTACCCCAGTGCCGCAAAGGCTCCCACCTTCGGTGGGGTAAGGGGGTGACCTATTTCCGTATGATCAAAGTCTTACCCTTGTACTAAAGCACAGAGAGACTATTTCCAGATGACGTATAGTGAAAACTGCGTCAAAAATTGAATGGATTGTCTGCTGAATCATAGCAAAGAAGCGAAGACAGTTTAGCGAGTCATTTTGTTTTGTTCCATCATATTTCTAAGCCAAAAAATAGCGGGTCTTTGGCTCCATTGCAAGCAGGGGCGTAGCTAAGGGCTGCCCAGGCTAGGCCCTGGCCCACCCCAAATTTAGAAAATGCCAATATTTTTAGTATAAAAAATTCTGTGTAAATTTTTTTCCAATATTATTCTTTGTACCGGCCCAGTCTGGCCCAGTGCCCTGGCTTCGCCCTTGAATTTGCAAATGATGGGAAAATCCAAAAAGGAAAGGACATGTAAAATGGGACAGAGGGAGTATTATTTCGTGTTTTTTATTTTTATATTTTTATTATAAATAGGTTAAGTTATGACTTTTATGTTTTAATTATTAATGAATATGAATTGTATTAACACAAAGAAAGAGTAGGATTGAAAAACTAATCCAATTTAGGGAATTTTAAAGTTATACTCCTATTCTTGCAATTAAAGTTTCATTTAGTCCTATTTGGGGAATAAAACATAGTCTAAATTTAGTCCTATGGCTGAAAATAAAGATGTAATTAAACATAGTCTAAATCTGCAACATGCAATAATATAGTATAAATAACAAAATCCAGACATGAAAATCATGACCTGTTTCAAAGCCCCGACATCATTAGTTCCATCACCACACATCAATGTTATTCTTCCCACAGATTTAAAAGTGGTCATAATAAGCTCCTTTTGCTCAGGAGCAACCCTAGCAAACACCTGGAAAATTACATCCTTTTTTACAAACTAAAAAACAAATGATCATAGCTAGAAAGATAAGCATAATTTCATTCAGCACAACCTTCACATACGGAATCACTTTAAGGGTAGCTGATGTCTGCTGCAACATTTCAACACAATCGCCTCCAATACAGAGATCATAAGTCTCCGAGAGCGCCTCAACTTCATTCTCGCTATTAAATGAATATAAAAAAGAAAGTCAGCAAGAGGGAAAACTCAACAAAAGAGATGTGTTAATATTGTGTGTACTGTGTACATAAAGAAAGACACAAAATTTCCAAATGCTCCCCTCCTAAAGGACAAGGGAAGATCAAAACAAGTAATGGACGATAGAAGTTTTCCTAGAGAGGTGTCTGCTTCATAGTAGGATCTTACTATCTGTGTCATGATTTACGATCTTTATTTCTCAAGTCTAAAACAATCCTACATAGGATCTCGAGATTGAATACCTTGTGGAAGAGTACTCTCACCCTCTTATTAAAGAATGAGGATGATGTGCAACTGTGCAAGAATGTATTGGGGGATTAACCTTATGTCACACCATGAAACTTTGCAAGCAAGTGATTGCGCAAAAGCTTCAAAAAGGTGTGAAGATCTTGAAAAATCAATTCGGTTTTATGTCGGGGCGTACAACAACTGAGGTCATTCACCTGCTTAGGCAACTTGTGGAGAAGTACAATGATACGAACAAGGACCTGCATTTAGCCTTCATAAACTGAAGATAAGTTTTATATGGCAATAACTAAGCTTGCATTAGTGTATGCCATAGAGATTTTGGGCGGTGAAACAATATCTCATTCAAAAGATGGGTGGGCATGAGATGTGTTGTGTTGGATGTGTGGACATGCTAGAAAAGACTACTAGGAGAGAATGAGACAATCAGACAAATGCTGGGAGTAGTACCTATTGAAAATAAGATATTAAGATGTGAGAGTCTCGATTGCGGAGGTTTGACTGCACAGAAGACTGAGTGATGTACCTATTAGACGAATTGAGAGGTGGGGAGAAGAGGCGTGGAAGAGGAGGAGACGGCTTATATAGAGTTATAGACATGGATTAGAGTGGTCGAGAAAGATACGATACTTCTTGAGTTAGATGAGAGTATGAATTTGGAAACAACGAAGTGGAGTGAGAGTATGTGTGGAGGATTGAGTTGTATTCATTTGTCTTGTTTTCTTCTCTATTTATCATTTTTAATTCCAATGTCATATGTCGGTTCATGTTAGCCAACCCTGAACTCTTTTGAGGCAAAGGCTTGGATGTTATTGTTTTGGATGTTGTCTGACTAAACATGCTTATTAAAAGCGTGATATTTTAATGTTATGGGCTGATCTATTGATGTAAAAAGGAGAGAAACAATACCAACTAGAAAAACCTTTCCTTAAAAGGAAATGGAACAAAAATATTGGGACATCTCAATAAGGAGCGTGGGAAGAAAATTTTGGGGCAGGGCTATGATGTGCAGAAACTCGAAAAATGAAGTGTTCTTACTCTTCAGAAACTCTTCAAACACTTGTTTTTCAATTGAAAGATCACGGTTTCCATACCACATTTCCCGTGTTTCAAGTAGTACATGTTACAAATATTTACAGTTACTTATAGTACTACATATAATTCAATATGTAGTACTATTTTAAAACCATTATGACAAAAAAAGTGAAGATATCAAGAAAAAACTCATCCAAGATCTCCAAAATTGAGGAAGTCAGATAACATGAGTTCAGAGCCTGTGGCTCTTTCACTTCCATCCTCCTTCCCCCTAATCCCCAACCAAGCCCCCCTACAAAGTTCTCCAACCAAACAACACTTGGAGTAGCGCAGAGGAAGTGATTATTATTTACAAATTTTAAGTAATGCTGTTTGTACCTGTAGCTAATTGTCTCAGTCTCATCAGGTGAGACCCAGTCATATAATTCACAATTCTTTGCACTGCCAAGAATCATTGCCGGTTTGGAAATGATATGAACTTGACTAGCTACATGACAAGCTGTCAATGCCTGATCACCGGTAATCATTACCTAAAATACGTTACAAGGAGAAAAGCATTTTCATTGATCCCAAAAATTACATGGAGATGCGTATTTACATAAATAGTAATCTGATATTACTAGCATATATATATACCAAGTCATGTGATGATAGTTTCAACTCAGACAATACAGTAGCTGAATCTCCTCTGATGGGGCAATTAAATACCTAAAGTCCATTAAAAGAAGATTGAATATAAAAAAAGAGAGATAACATATGAGTTCTGGTGCATGGCTGAGAATATATAAATGTGGTTTGAGTTACCGCAAAGCCAGCAAAAGCCAGGCCACTTTCCACAATATCTCTCTCCAGACTTCTAGCTTCACTAACCTTCAACAATAATAAAATATAACAGAAACTTTAAGAAGTTCGATAATACAGGTTAAAAGAAAAGGTGAATCAAGTACATAGCCCTAAAGCAAAAGGCAAAGACACTATAGGGGCATTTGGTTGGGTGTAGTATTTGATTACACCCGTAATCTGATACTATTGTAAAAATATATCAAATACCGCCATGGCATTCTAATATTGTGGTGTGTTATCTGCAAAGTGTCATTAGTGTAGAGTAGTAAGAGTGGCAGTCTGGCTCCTACTTCCATATAAAACCAAAAAGGGTGATTAAGGTGAACGCTCAACAGATTGTTCAACTGGCTTGAACCATCATCATCATCATTTCCCCAGTGCCGCAAAGGCTCCCACCAACGGTGGGGGTAGGGGGTCGGATGTATGCAGTCTTAACCCTGCACTAAAGCATAGAGAGACTGTTTCCGGATGACCCATAGTGAAAATCACATCGAAAATTGCATGGTATGACTGTTGCTTCATAATAAAGAAGCGCAAACAGTATAGTGGGTCATTTTGCTTTATTCCATCATATTACCAAGCCAAAAAATAGTGAGTCTTTGACTCCATTGCAATTGATGGAGAAGTGAATCAAGTACATAGTCCTAAAGCAAAAGGCAAAGACGCTATAGGTCAAATCCCACGGGACAAAATTTCATGAGATCACTAGTTCAAATCCCTTGATTCAAATTCGGGGCTTGTATTCGGGCCAAAATGGTGCTAGATAGTACATAATCGCGTTATAATAAAAGGGTAAGAAAACTTTCTCCATAATCTTCAAATAGATGTTTTCAAAACATATATCAGTAAACAAAGATAATGGAGTCATAAGGTCCTACTGTCATCTCTGGAAGAGATCTGAAAGCCAGGGCCAACACTCGAGATCCTTGACGGGTGTACTTTTTGTAGGTAGAGACATAGAAATGTGGCACATCAACAAGTCTCTCCTGAATTGTTTCTGGTGCACCCTGAAAGTCAATAAGGGGAACTTATAAGGAGAACATAACCACCTTCATGTAACTAGTTTAAAATGCCTCTAAAGACAAGATATTGACATTATTTTCAAGTGACAAGCAGTTTGTGAAGTGATAACAATGTCTATATTGATAAAACAAAGAGACATCATTAATCTAGGATTTATTTTCCTTATTATTACTGTAATTATGCTTCAGGTTGTAATTAATAGCTGCTGTCTTTTCAGTTTATAAGCATTTATGTTTAGTATTTAGACAGTCACCTAAGGATACTGAATAGTCTCTCTCAGGCTTCTGCCCGTATATATTGCTCTGTACTTCTTGTAAATGAAGCATTGAAGAATAATAAAAAACTTCATGGTATCAAAGCACGATCTTGTATCAGCCTCTTCACTGTTAATCATCTTTCCAACAGTCTACTAGGGTGTCTCTACCTGCCTCTCTGTTCTTCTAATGCGCATCTTTTCACCAACGGTTCTATCATGTCTAAGGAAATTGAATCAACATCAAGTCACGGGGGAGGATGATTGGAATTGCTAAACAAAGAGATGCCATGTACTACCTTGATGCATTGTTTGTCTCCAAACCTCCACAAAAAGCTCTTACCTCAATCACTGCCAATACCAACACTATTTGGCTTCAGCACAGGTGACTTGGTCATCCCTCTTTTCATGTCCAAAAAACCATATTCCCTGGTCATTTTAGTAGTGTTGACGTTTCTACATTTCAATGTGATGTCTGTATACTTGCTAAACAGTCTCGTGTATCTTTTTCCAAAAGTAATACAATCAGTTGTTCTCCTTTTGATATTATACATAGTGATGTCTGGGCCCTGCTCCAATTACTGATATATCTGATGCCCGGTGGTATGTTACATTTATTGATGACTATACACGTTTTATGTGGGTTTTTCTGCTAAAAAACAAGAGTGAGGTGAGTTCCATCATTCCCATCTTTTGCAATATGATTCATAATCAGTTCTCTGCCACTATAAAACGCTTCCGTACCGATAATGCCCTTGAATACTTCAATCAAACTGTTTCCTCTTATTTCCACTCAAAAGGTATTGTTCATGAGTCCTCTTGTCCATACACACCACAACAGAATGGCACAGCAGAAAGAAAAAATCGCCATCTCCTTAAAGTTAGTCGGGCTTTATTGTTTCAATCAAATATGCCTAAACACTACTGGGGGAAGCCACACTCACAGCATGTCATCTCATCAATAAACTTCCCAGTCAGGTACTCCAAAATAAGTCACCCCTTTGATCTCTCCATCGCTTCTTTCCTCAAACCAGAATTTCTTCTGATCTTGATCTAAGGATGTTTGGGTGTACTGCATTTGTTCATATTCCTCCACCTCATAGGGGGAAATTGGACCCACGATCTATTAAGTGTATCTTTCTAGGTTACTCTCCAACTCAGAAAGGATATAAGTGCTATAATCCTACAACCAGAAAGACACACACCAGTGCAGATGTGACCTTTCACGAAGATAGACCTTTTTACACTCCTACTTCTCTACCTGTATCCCAAGATACTCCACATCCTTCACCTCTTCCCACCGATACTATTACATCTTCTCCAACACTTACAATCTCCTACTCTCCTAAACCTTTATCATCAGACATCCCATCACCACCACCACCTAATCACCCATCACCTTCATTAGATGTGTCAGCTACCTCACCTACTTCCCAACAGTCTTCAACATCACCTGAAACTCAATCAAATTCACCACCAGACCATCCCATTCCTACACCTACTAAATCCACCACTCATGACCCACCTTCTCCTCTACCAATGACAAAATTGTACTCAAGAAAAAACAGGTTCACTCTATTGTTGATGCATGACCAATCGGCTGACCTAGGTAATGTCTCTTCTTCTCCACCACCGTCTCCGCCAATTGCTTTACGCAAGGGTGTACGTTAATGTACCAAAACACCTCTATACCCTCTTGCTAATTTTGTTACCATTGATAACTTCTCTCCTTCACATGCCTTGTTTGTTCAAAGACTTAATGAAATTGCCATACCCAACTCTGTTTCTGAAGCATTAGGAAAGAAAGAATGGAGGGATGCTATGCAAGAGGAAATTAGAGCTCTTGAAAAGAACCATACTCGGGATATTGTGACTAAACCTCCTGGGAGGCATGTTGTTGGGTGCAGGTGGATCTTTACTGTCAAATACAATGTTGATGGATCTCTTAAACAGTACAAAGCTCGTCTTGTGGCTAAAGGATACACTCAGACGTATGGGATTGACTATCAAGAGACCTTTGCTCCTGTAGCTAAGCTCAATGTTGTTCGTATCCTACTATCTTTGGCATCTCACTTTGATTGGCCTTTACTGCAATTTGATGTCAAGAATGCTTTTCTCCACGGTGACTTGCATGACGAGATCTACATGCACATCCCCCAGGCTTCAATAAAACATCAATAAGTATCTCTACACATGTATGCCGACTTAAAAAAGCCCTTTATGGTCTCAAGCAATCCCCTCGTGCTTGGTTTGACCGCTTCATAGAGATTGTTCTTACTGCTGGGTATAGTCAAAGCCAAGGGGATCACTCTTTTTTACAAACACTCTCGCCCAAATGGAGTCACTATTCTTTTAGTATACGTGGATGACATCATTGTGACCGGTAATGATCCGGTTGAGAAACAACGTCTTGAGGGGCAGCTGAAATCCCAATTCGAGATGAAGTCTCTTGGCCCTCTAAAATACTTTCTTGGAATTGAAGTTGCCCGATCATCTGAAGGCATCTTTATCCGCCAACAAAAGTATATTACAGATTTGCTAAATGAGACTAGTAAGAGTGCTTGTCAACCGGTTACTGCACCTATGGATCCTAATCATAAGCTTGGACTTGCCACTAATGAACCCAAGGTTGATTCATCAATGTATCAGCGTTTGTATGGAAAACTTATCTATCTCTCATACCAGACCTGACATTGCCTATGCGGTTAATGTCCTGAGCCAGTTCATGCATGATCCAAGGAAACCACATCTAGAAGCAGCCTATAGGGTTCTACACTACGTCACTACCTAAAAGGAAGTTCATGACAAGGAATAGTATTCAGGAAGGGTGGGCAATTATCTGTCCAAGCCTTCACTGATGCAGATTATGGTGGCTCTCTCGTTGACCGTCGGTCAACTACTGGTTTCTGTGTTTTCCTGGCAGGAAACCTTGTGACATGGAGAAGCAAATCATCTATGGATCATCTGCTGAATCTGAGCTAAGAGCCCTTGCCCATGGCTTGTGTGAACTTCTATGGATCAGATTTACAAATCAGGTAGAAGGGACCAATGGAATTGAGGTGTGATAACAAATCAGCAATCAGCATAGCTCATAATCCAGTCCAACATGATCGGACCAAGCATATTGACATTGATCGGCACTTCATCAAAGAAAAGGTTGAAGGAGGTCTGATTGAACTAAGCTACACTCCCTCAGAGTATATGTGTTTACCAAACCTCTGCACGGTCCTAGGTTTCAGAGTCTTATTGTCAAGCTAGGCATGAAGGATATCTACAAACCTAGCTTGAGGGGGAGTGTTGATAAAACGAAGAGACATCATTAATCGAGGATTTATTTTCCTTATTATTACTGTAATTATGCTTAAGGTTGTAATTAATAGCTGCTGTCTTTTCAGTTTATAAGCATTTATGTTTAGTATTTAGACAGTCACCTAAGGGTACTGAATAGTCTCTCTCAGGCTTCTGCCTGTATATATTGGTCTGTACTTCTTGTAAATGAAGCATTGAAGAATAATAATATACAGAAAACTTCAGTCTAAAGTGCAATTTTTCGAGATAAGTGAATATCTTTTCCCTACTCAAAGATTTCTTTATAATTAATTAACAGTTATCAAGAAAACTTATGTTACTATGCAGCTCTGATACCCTCCAACTAAAGCACTAACTACAAGCTCACTCCATCTCCCTATTTTGAGGAAAATAATTAAGATGGCCATTATAGTTTTATAAATGTGCATATATGTACATGTTCAATGATGATGATGATGATAACATATATATACATTGCAGACCTTTACAAAGGCATAAAATTGCTCCTGCACCCGAACGACTGCTGACATTCTCTTCAAGTGAGATGCAAAGTGGTGTCTATGCACAATTTGAACAGCCTCGCCTCCACCCCTTTGGAAACCCAGAAGCATTAGACAATATATGAGATAAAGGTTCATAATGTTCACAAAAGACTATTGAAATATAAAATGACAGCAGGACAACGAAATACTTGAAAATAAATGGAAAATTTTCAAAACCGGTTTCAAACATGAGTTATATAATTACTACCTCCGTCCCTTAAAACTTTGTCAAAGTTGACCGGCACGTAGAATAATAAAGTAAAAACTGTGTGGTTAAGGTTTGTGCAGAGGAGAGAGAAATAACAGAAACCATAAAATAATTGATTAAAAGGGAAAGTGGCAAAGTTTTTTGGGACGTCCCAAAAAGGAAAGATGGCAAAGTTTTAAGGGACGGAGGGAGTAATATACAATTTTGAAGCTTCTAGCATTGATATAGAATTCAAGAAAATTAGATAGTCTTGTCCGATGGTTCTTATCATCATTATAATAGAAAATCCACACTTTACTGAATAAACACATATAGTTTATGGTTGTAGTTTGTAAACTATGATATACCACAGCCACAAAATAGGATCATGTGTAAATGCTTACTTTCTTGGGATGGCCTTTTCATCTGATTTGTATGACCAATCAATCCCCTTAAGCGCAGCTTTCTCCAAAGGGTCACCAACCTAAATTACCCAAAAGCGAAAAAATTAGCCATAAAACATAACCAGAAATTACAAGTATTTGCCCCCTAACTGCTTGACAGCAACAATGTGCACTGCAACCTCCCTAAAATGCTCTTCGACAGCAGCCATTCAAGCAAGACAAGCACACAAGCAACAAAAGTAGCTAAAAGTTTGATGATTTATGATATCAACAGTAGCAACACAATTAGCTAATATGTTGATTAATGTAGTAATAGCAACAGAGGTCGCCTGAATCGCAGGCTCAGGATTTTCAAAGCCGGACAACTTTTTCCCTTCTTTATATGTGGATCTTATTTTAGAAGGACAATCAATAGAACTAGAGATTTCTATAATACAGTGAATTGTAGAGTATCATTAGTTACCAGCAGCGTCATAACATTAAAATTAGAGAGGAAAAAAGGACACGCCTAAAGACTTCTCCTGATCAAGGCAGGCTATGAAACTTCCTGATTCAAAAATAAATCATGAACTGAAGGATCTACACCGCCCACGGGCAAGTTCACAGTACACCCATAATCTAGTTGTAATGTTGTATGATGTGGGAACCTATGGCTTGGTCAATGATAGGATTGGGCATATTATTAGAAATAATAATAAGTAGGCTTGTATTATAAACATAAGTACTATAAATAGAAGTGGGGAGTCTTAGAAAGGTAGGCTGTTATTTGGCTAGGACTGGGCTAGGAGATTGGGCATCTCGAATTGTCTGTGCTTACTGTATCCCTTCGGTTCGGTTCATCACATTGAATAAAGCTTTCGATCTGTTCTTCTACAACTTCTACTGATTTCTATATTGTTCTGAGTATCGATTATCTGTATCTAACATTGGTATCAGAGCATTACGCTCCTGGTGACTGTAGCATTGATCGGAGAAGTTACGTTAATTCCAGAAATTTCTCGTTTCGAATCGTGAATGGTTAGAACGAGAGGAAGAATGGAAAAGCGAATGGAATCGCTGGAGCGAAATCAACAGGAGATGAAATCTAAGTTGGATAATATCGCCAGACGGCTAGCAGCGATGAACGAACAACTCCAGACTAGAAGGCGATCGGGGACGTCAACAACTTCTTTCAGTTCGCAGTCTTCGTCGATAGCAGTTTCCCAAAGTTCATCATCGCGATCCGTTTCTCACAGTCGTCCGCAGAGGTCTTCGCAAGTTTGGTCGCAAACTGCTTTTCCGTCGCAGTTGACATCGCAAGTTGAGTCTTCTCACCATGCGCAAATTTCAGCTACGAAAATGAACCCCATAGATTCTCACCGTACGCAAACTATAGACCTCGTGGAATCAGGAAGTGGATTGCCATTGAAAACAATGAAGAAGGATGAGTCGAAGACATATGCACCAATAATTCCTAAGCCAGAATATGATATTACTCAAACCACGGAATTTTCACCAGATAATCTTGAAGATTCAGAAACGCTCAAACCTGATAGTCCCTACGGACAGGAAGGAAATCCTACTGACCACAATGGTCCTGCCTGGGAACTAAACACTATCACAGGGGCTGATGAGGAAGGCCTGTATCGCACATCAATCCTTACTTATGATGATCAGAGGTATGCTCTTGTACTGGTAAGAAACCAAGAATATTTTAAATCTTTGTTGGATAAAGTTCAAGAACGTGAGTTGGGGGTTATAAGGGATAATATGCACCTTCATTCATCAAAAAGAATTTCGAGAATTTCGGAATGGCCGTATAAGTTTGATGGCTTCATAATTGAGGATGAAATTGCTGTGAAGTCTGTACAAAAGGGGTTGGGGGTAAGAACTACTGGAATTTGGAAGGAAAAAGTTGGTTATACTACTGATGGTTACGTTGATATCTTCCTGGGGCTTGACAATGAATTCAATTCTGCTATCCTCCAAGCGGCCTTGATAATTGGTGAAAAGGTAAGGAGAATGCCAGTTCAAAGAGAAGGTGCAGGTTTGGACTATAGGTCTTTTAGTGGAATTGAAGGATTAGTCTTCACTCACTCAAATGCCAAACCTAAGATGATAGTTAAGAGCGGCAGTTTGATATTTTCTTCAATTCGGGACTCCTCTATTTCTAGACTGAGATGGGCTGAGAAGTTTAATCGTGAATACCAGTTGGATAAAATCAGTGAGGGCCTGGATTCTACTACTCAGGTTGTTGTAATTGATGTCTACAACAAAGAGCATCTCATGGATTTATGTTTAAAGCCAGAAATTGCTAGTGGTGTCAAAGTTGAGGGAAAGTGGCTGGATGGAATGCACAATCTTTATGGAACTGTTCAACGAATAGTTTACACCTATATTTTTCCTATGATGCAATCCAAGCAGGAGACTGATTTACAGGATACACAATTAGAAGGGGGTAGCTTGCTTTGGAACCTCTTGGCTATGCTCAAATTTGTAATAAATGTGGTTTTTCAACCGTTAGTCAGGGAATATTTGAAGAGGTGGATTGATCAAACAGTTGAAGTTTGTATGAGTGTTCTTGAAAAGGTTAAAAATGGTTTCTTCTATGATCCATTTAGAGATAAAATTCCTCAGATTAGGTCTGCCTTATGTGAGAGACTGCTGAATTATGATGAAGATCTGTGTATGCAAGTTGCTGTTTTTCTCTATGATGAAGCATGTTGTGCCTTATCCTCCCCAGAGTCTGAAAGAACCAAGTTCCTGGAAAAGATGTTGGAAGAAAAGCCAAGGTTACAAACAAGGAGGCAGATGCTGGGATATTATATCATTGATAACATTAAGGAGCATTATGCCACCATGTCCTTGCATCTGTGTATTTCTGTTGTGAAGTACATGTGGAAGAAGATCGAAATAACGAAGTTAAAGGTTCAGAAATCAGTCAAGTATTGGCAAGGAAGAGGTGCAAGAATGAAGTGGAAGTGGAAAATCATGGCTGTTTCCTATCACCCACCTTGAGGACAAGGTGGTTGTTTAGGGGGGGAGTAGTGATAGGATTGGGCATATTATTAGAAATAATAATAAGTAGGCTTGTATTATAAACATAAGTACTATAAATAGAAGTGGGGAGTCTTAGAAAGGTAGGCTGTTATTTGGCTAGGACTGGGCTAGGAGATTGGGCATCTCGAATTGTCTGTGCTTACTGTATCCCTTCGGTTCGGTTCATCACATTGAATAAAGCTTTCGATCTGTTCTTCTACAACTTCTACTGATTTCTATATTGTTCTGAGTATCGATTATCTGTATCTAACAGTCAACCATGAAACATAACCCTACACTTAGAAAAGAACCCTAGTTTCATGACTGATCCCAAAACGTATTATTTTTTACCAGTTTATTATCCACAAAAACCAAAGCATGGCAAGAGGCAAGAATTTCCAGAGCTCGTGATGGGACTTTACTCATATCTCTTTCCAAGTCCTCACTATCTGTCAACCCACCAACTCCAGAGAATTCCTGACAAATGAACGTGAAATCTCAAAAACAAAAACAGAAAAAGAAAACAAAAGGCTCAGAATTTGAGTTAATTGCAAGATACATACCATGTCATCTGATGTTAGTGTCCCGGTCTTATCAAAACAACATATATCAACCTGCAGGAGCCAAGCAAAGTTTCACTTTTAAAAGCATTAAATAGATATTTATATGATCGTAACACTATTTAAGGGGTAACCTGGTAAAGTAATAAACGAACAAACGCAGCAAGTCCCTTTCAAAAGTAGGGACAAGGGAGGGAGAGATGCATGTAAACCGTATCTCTACACCTCGAGGTGGAGATTAATTTCTGTGAAGACCCAGCAGTGGAGAGATATTTTCGTAAACCTTGAAACTTTTGAAAGTTTTGAAGATCTTAGTAAATACTAGTGTCATGGATAAAGTAATAAAAGTACAACTAATCTCTTCTTTCACGTAGTTTAGTGTTCTTGATCTGAAAATACAAATGGAGAAGTCCAATCTCACAATCCGTTCGGTCACCTCTATCCACAACATCACTTCAAGTAGAAGAGTGGTGAGAAGAGGGAAAAAAGTAAATGTTGCACAAGTGTAAAAGCAGATTCAACTACTGTCTAGTGTACATATAAAGCTAAAGTCATTATCACACAAGTAGTCAAAGAAGATGATGAGGAATACCCCAAACAATTGCAGCAGTAACCAAATAACCCTATATAAATCAGTGATGTCAATAGCGGGCTATAGCAGAATAGCGGAGCGGGGGCTAGGCGCTATCAAGCTTATCACGGCGTCGCCTAGGCGTCGCCTAGGCGCCGACTAGGCGTCCAGGCGCTGGAGAGTGCTCGCCGGAGTGACTCGCCTCGCCGGAAGAAAAGAAGTCTCACTTGGCGTCGTCCAGTCGTCCAGGCGCGATGTTGGCGACAAGTCTTTGCCGTTTTTACATGTCGAACCGAAGTCCCGAAGCCCAGAAAGATTTAGTCTTTTAATTAACAATAAAGCCCAAAGCCCCAAAATAATTTCATAATATATAATCTAATAAACTTACAAATTAAGCTGCCCATCATCCAAGTCATCAATCTCCATAGAGAGTTAGAGACACAAGTCCGTTCCGGGAGCACAGAGCGGACCGGTTGGCAGTAGCGGCTGTAGTGGGCGCTATAGCGGGAAGAATAGCGGCTGTAGTGGGCGCTATAGCGGGAAGAATAGCGGCTGTAGCGGGCACTATAGCGCCGCTATAATTTACAGAGCTACTTCAGTGCTTTTTTTGAGGGAATTTGGGAGTACTTTTTACTTTTGGATGTTTTTGGAGTAAAAAATTACCCCAATACACCCTCTAAAACACATGGGAGACAAAAAACCCTACTAACCTTACTAAATTAACTAAAAACAGAAACCAAGATCAAACACAATCTATACCATACATCTCCATGTTAATGTAGTTCAAGGCATCCCAACAACCATGATTTTCTTATAATGGGATATTAATGATACAACTATACAAGTTTATCAAGCATTATCTGGATCTTATTTTTTAAAGTTTAGAGGTGAGGTACTTCAATTATTTGTTTTTTGTTTAAGACTTTAATGCCTCTTTATTGGTTATTTAGTGAGTATAAATTTCATGAAATTTGAGTAATAGTGTAATACGGAGTATATTTGTGATTTATCATTTCTTGTGATTTATAGTTGCATACATATAATATGTATTTTGTATATATATACTGTCTAAATAGCGGTCATCCCACTATCTGCTATACCGCTATAGCGTTTTCGGGGTTGGCTGCTACGCTCCGCTATCCGGGATTGACAACACTGATTCAAATCATAATCATCAACTTGTTTGCTAACCTTGCCCTCCAACTCATCATCACCAATCATCTTGTAAACTACATCATTAAACAACTCTCCTTGCTCATAAGCATATGCAGTATCAGTCCCTTTCAAGTCAAAATACTTAGATGGGTTGAGAAATAAAGCAACTGCAACCCAATACAAATTTACTTCCATTTGATCTGCCTATCGATCCTCAATAATCTTCATCATCTTTTTCAACACTCTGGGCCTACCTGCAAATGACTCATTTATTTTTTTTCTTAGCTTCTCTCATAGCCATGGCAAGCTCAGGCATAACCGGCTGCTCATCCCCATCGACTATCCTTAGAACAACAAGAAGTGGATAGCATGCTCTCAAGGTATACTCCACCCCATTCCAAAACTTAGAAGCAAGAATAGTGTCATATACCCCTTACCCCACTGTTGTACTTGACAACTTCGAATTATTCCAATCTTGACTCACAAACAGGTTCCTCAAAGGTTCTCTATACTTGCATAAACTTTGCAGTCAGAAATGATGTGGCAAACCGTGTAACACCAGCCCTCACTAGATCTCTTCCACCAGTTCTCTCCCGCATTGCACTTAGAATCCTTGTATGCCTATAAATAAAAGTGGTGCAACGTCTTGCAGTATCAATCCAGGGCTTAAACTCAACGAGTTTCCTAATATCCTCCATCATAAGATCTAGGAAGTGAGTCGTACAAGGATCCAGGAAAGTGTGGGTATACGCTGCTCCAGTAGCTTCCCTGCGGCTTTGTAGTTCGCCCCACTATCTGTCACTACTTGAATGCCATTCTCTTTGCCAATCTTTTGAATATGTTTCTCCAGCAATGATGCCAACAGACTTGCATCTTGTGACTCGTGCGAAGCATCAATCGACTCTAAGAAGAAAGTCCCTTCTGGACTATTAACGAGAAAATTTACCAAGTGCCAACTCCTTTTATCGGACCATCCATCTGACATGAGTGTACATCCATATTGCTTCCAAGCAATTTCATGTTTCTCCTTCAACTTTTTTGTATCCTTCACAGCTTCCTCGAGAAGAGGCACCCTTAATTCATGGCAACTCGGAGGTTTCAATCCGGGGCCAAACTGCCCGATTGACTCGGTCATAATTTCATAGCTTCTTGAGTTTGCAACATTGAAAGGTATACCATTCTCATAGAAAAAATCAGCAATGTGCTTATAAACTTTCTTGACCTCTTCTTTGGATCTAGTACAACCCTCAAGAGTCTGTTGACTCTTCTTCCCCTGAGAATGCCTTCTTCAATCACTTCTTCATGTGACTTTCTAATCATTGAAGCAACAGAATTAGTTGGTTTACCTGGTTTTGGTAGTGAATGCTGAAATTTTAGAGTGGACTGCGTTACACGCTTCCTTTTAATGGTTGTTCCAGAACTAAGAACTGGATGAATAGAAGAAGCACGAGATGATACTTGTGTGACAGGATCCTTGTCCAATTCATCATCTTCATCATCCAATTCAACACTCACTTGCATTTTATTCTTCATTTTGCTCTTCATATAATTGCCCATTTTAGTTCTTATTTCTAGAGTTCTCTTTGCGCATTTTTCAACACCCCGTAACCGCCAACTAAGTGTTGCTTCAGCCGTTTAACTCCGGAATGCACCTGTCTTCCACAAAGTGCGCATTCTACCAAGTCCCAGTTATTCTTGTCCGGCCAAAAACCAAATTCCCATCCGGGATCATCCGATTTGGGTTTTCTGCTAGGATCTTTTGATGGATCATAACTTTCCGGATCAGCCATGGTAAGCACTGTTTAAAAAAATTATTAAATGTACAACTAAACAACCAAAATTTCACTAAAAACTTAAAAAAATTATTAAATGTAAGACAACACAATTACACAACGTAAATTTCAGCATAAATTGAAGACACCGAAAAAAATTATGAAATATAAAATTAAAAAAATAACTGAAATTTATTCATTATTTGGGGAAAAACTGAAATTCATTTTCATAATATTAAAACTTTTCTTAAAAAAGTGACAGTGGTACAATACTAACTTTTCAAAAACTATTTGACTTTCTGTAAAACATTAACAGTTCATCACATTAAGGATGTTTTTACTTGGACTGTAATTTGCTGGTCTGGTCTGGTCTGAACTGGTCTGGTTTCTTTGTATTTTTATAACTATCCAAGTCTGGTCTGGTCTGAACTGGTCTCGGACTCTGGGAGGAATTACAGTCCAAGTAAAAACATCCTAAATAAAACATTAAATTCAAAGCATTCAACAAAATATTAAATACTCCCTCCGTCCCGGTTGGAAGTTGACAATTGCTTTATGCACGGTATTTTAGTACACCACATAGTTAGTCCCAACTTTCCCATATTACCCTTCCTTTTGTATTCCATTTGATTAACCACCACTCTCCAATTCTCCGCCCAAACAATGCCGCCTGGAAGTATTCTACTCCTCCGGCTTACCCCCCAAGTCCACAAATATCTCAATCCTTTGTGTTTGCCTCTGTATTTTGTTTCTCTCCCTGGCATGCGACTTGCACCACCTGCCGTGCAATCATATTTTGAAGTCACTCCATCTACTTCTTCACAAATTCCCCCCATTAAAGTTCCACTCTTCATCCGCTTCTTTAAATGCTCTGGGTTTGGGATAGTCTCTGCAAATCTACTTTTACTGATAGGCAGCGGAAAACACCAAAATTACATCCTTCCCTTTTAACGATTTTGGCCAGTCCGGGTTGTCCGCCGTGGGGAGTAGATGGGTAAGATTTGAAATCCATCGTTGGGAGTAGATGGGTAAGATTGGAAGAAGTAGATATATGGAGAGAGGGCGGTGACGGCAAGTCGGCGAGTACGGACGACGACCACGAACCACCCCTTCTTCCCTTCTTCTTATTTCCGGGTTAATTTCTGGTCCGACGGTGCTCGGTGCTCCCATCGGCCATCTCCAAACTCCAGATAAAGAGAAGATAGATGGCGGTATAAAATTTTTGGGAGAGATGCGCCGTATAAATCTTTAGGAGAGAAGGTGGGAATAGGGGGTAATAAAGACATTTTAATGGTTAATGTTTTCCAAAAAAGGAAACATAAAGATTTAAATGGGATGTCCCAAAAAGGAAAGTGTAAAGATTTAAATGGGACGGAGGGAGTACAATTTTTTTAGAAATATTAAATGCAAAGTTAATATACAAGGTTGGATGATTTTAAACCCACGTACCCAACTGAGTAATAACTAAACAAATACGAATCACATACCCACACACTAAAGTTAAAAGTCCAAGTCTAGAAAAATTTTGAAGCAACTACAAGTGAGTGAGCTATTAAAACGACTTAGCCAGCAACGGAAATACCTGGTGGGAAGATTGAGCGTGTGGCCGATTGAAGACGGAAGGGAAGAGGAACGCAGATAGAAGACGGATTCAGCGCAGATGGGAGACTCTGCGTTTGGAAACTCGTTGAGCGCAGATGGATCGGTCTGGTTTATTTTATTTGATGGGTTTAAAAAATTGGGTTTGGGTTTGGGCCTGTAATAATAATTACGTCCTGTGGCCTGTTCAAATAAGTCATCGCCTATGGCGTATATGTCGTTCATCCGATGCCACAAGGACGTTGTGTCGACGCCACAAGGTTTATGGCGAGTCGAGAACATAAGGCGAGCCTCTCAACGCCAGGACGATGTGGCGACGATAATGCGACGCCATGGCGACGCCATGACAACTATGATGCATACATATAATATGTATTTTGTATATATATACTGTCTAAATAGCGGTCATCCCACTATTCACTATACTGCTATAGCGTTTTTGGGGTTGGCCGCTACGCTCCGCTATCCAGGATTGACAATACTGATTTAAATAATGTTGAGCCAAATGAATCATCAAATAGCAAGTCTATTTATATGATCTAAAAAAGGGGAATGGGATGTAATAATTATATGCGATTGATATTCAGAAATGTGACAGGTGTGGCAATAAACTAAAATAGCACTCATTGGATTATTGAGAGTGTAGAAGTACCTTCCCAGCAAATGGAATTCGGAAAGGCTCGGTGCAGAATATCCCACGTCGCGCTAATGCAATCAAAGATGTATTAACAGCTATTGATAACTCCATCGGTAGCTCAGGGGGGATCACTGAAGTAATAATCAAGGAACAACTCAGAGCCAGCTTATATCTACTTCGAGTTGGGTCCTCAAGCCCCTGCATCGGAACCCCATATCAACAACAACACTAACTTAACATCTAATTTGATAATTACATTCAACGTCATAAAAATGTCATGTTCATAAATTTACACTGCAGCTTTACCTCATCCAAAGCACAGGTAATGACAGAAAAAGCATACTACATACTTTACCTTGTCCTTAGACCTGCACAAAAACGGGTTTGGGGAGGGCTCGGGCCGGGCTTTTTGTAAATTTTCTGCCCATTATGTGTGGGCGGGCTCGGTCTGACCAGCAAAAATGGGCTTAACCACATGTTCATATTAGCCCATAAGAGCGGGCCGGGTAGTCCACCTGGCTGCCCGGCCCGGGAAAACTTTAATTTTCAAAATTATATAATTTGGTTTAGTACTTTTAAATTTATATTACAACATTTAAAAAATTGGTAATATGCTTATAATGTTTATAGGAACCACATGCACAAAAAATACTTACACAAATAAAATCATGAGAAACTATAACTAAAACTTGAAATTCAAGAACAAAGCATATATTATCTTTAAGTACAAAAATAGATATTATATTGGTTGGGCTAGTTGGTAAGAACTAAAAACTTAAATTCAAACATAATAAACTATAAATATGTATAAAGATAAATTAGTAAATATAAATATACAAGTGTACATGTAAATAAATAAATAAATTAGTATTTATATAAATATATATGTATTTATACTAAATGTAGAGGGCCAGGCTTATCGGCCCGAACGGGCCTACACCCTAACGCAAGCCTGCCCATATGCTATTGTGGGCCGGGCCCAACCTGGCCCGGTGGGTAAATATATATGCCCAAGCCCACCCAGTGTGTGGGCGGGCTGGGTGGGCCAGGCGGGCCGGGCCATTTTTGTGCAGGTCTACTTGTCCTAAACAAACTTGAAAAAGTATATTTTCCTCTCCTAAAGTTATAATGACATTAAAAAATGTTACCTTCATAAGAACATAGCCAGCTGCAATCAGTGCGAAAACAACCAAAAAGAGAATGAACAGTCCACTTTCCCAGCTGTTAGCAGTAACCTATGAAACAGTTTTCATCATTGAAAACTATCGAGTGTACGCATAACCTTGATGAAGCATTATTTTAACTAAATTACCCTCTCGGTGGAAAATAGGATAGTACGCATCAGTTTTCCTTGGCTAGTCTCAAACCCAGTTCGTAGAACAACAGCCAAGCAACCACCATCAGGGGTCTTCATATGATATGTCTGCTCATACAGGTAATAAAAAAGATGAATATGTGTGATCAACCACAAAACAATACTTGTAAACCAAAAATAAAACTACAATGACCTTATCTGGAGTGTGCTGCAAAATCTTTGTTCCACCAAAAAGGACATGAGCTTTATCTCGCCTAGCAGATAATTTCTCACCAGATCCTCTACCCATGATTGAAACCTGAACTCAGCGTAAGAGGCTTACTTTCATCATGGAAACTATTAACAAATGATGAAATGTAAATTGTACACCGTTTACACACATCCAAAAATATCAGATGTTTTAGTGCAAACATGCCTATTGGAGGAAATCTAAGGCACCGCCGTCCAAAACAAATTTCCTTCACAGCCAGCAGGTTTACACTTCACAGTTCTAACATATGTTTACCTTCCAATATTGATAGTAATGCTTAAAATGCAAATTGAATGTAGTGCTATAAACTTGATGTGAAGAAAAAATAGAAAGCTCTAAGAGCGATTACAAATTATTTTTCTAAAGAAGCAATATGCTGCTCGCAAAAACTCTTCAGAACTCGGAGTCAATATCCTAAAAATCCAAAAAAGTTGATAATCGGGTGAATTGTGAGACTAGTGCCTAGATGCAAGAGTATTAGTTGCGGTAGTTTGGTCATATATGTAGAAGATCGAGTGGTGCACCCATTAGACGGATTGAGAGGAGGGAGGGTGGAAGGGAACAAACCACATTAGAAGAGAGGTCAAGAATGATACAATACTACTTGGGTGAGATGAGAGTAGGACTTTTGGAGAGGCAAAGTGGACGAGAGCGTACGTGTGGAGGATTGATCCTACATTGTCTGCCTTCCTTTTTCTCTATCTAATAATTTTCTCTGATATCATATGTCATTTTATGTTAGAGGACCCCAAACTCTTTTGGGAATAAGGTTTGGGTGTTAATGTTGTTCTTGTTGTAGCCATGCAACCGAAAAATAATATAAGAACTTTAAGCATTTTAACCACCATGTTGATCAAAATGTACTCATGGAGTATAACATCAATCACTCCTAAGAATTAATGCCAACAGGAAGAGAAAACTAACCTTCCATTGAGGAGTCGATTCACCAGTAAGTATAGCTTCATTCACAATTGCACTTCCAGCTAGCAAAAGCATGTCAGCTGGCACATTCTTGTCTTCTCCAACTTGACCAACAGAACGCCCAATAGACACCACATCACCAGGCAATAGGTCGGTTCCCGATAATTTTACCCACCTAAAAATGGAAATCCTCAGGGTGATAGGGTGTATTTACTTCAGAGCAATTTACAAAATATTTTCCATTTTTTTAGAAAATGCAGATTGGTGTTCACTTGTATTGTCATTCCAGATGAAAAAAAAGGAAAGTAGTTTCCCGTGTGTCAAAAAACTGAAGGACGTTAGAAAACTCCCTCAACTGGAAAATGAAAAATAGACGGTGCTGATATGGTTCATCTGCTTTTTTCGCTTGAGTATTGCTCCTTTTTTCATTTCTCCGTCTAGAGATAGAAATTAGTGGGAAATGGAAAATAAAAGTTGTTGAACTTTATCCAAAAAAACAGTCCCCTATTGTATTGAAAGGTCTATCTATATTTCCTACATCTCATAAGCATGATCAATCATTCATACTTACTTTGACCATGATTCTCTGCTAATCTATAAAATCAAATTATTATGTGTAAAATATTATTAGATTCATCTTAATGTGAATTTTCAAAATATTATATTTTTATAATGTTTATTAATGAGTAATTGAATATAAACATAGTCAAAGTGGTGTGTTGGCAAACGCGAAAGTTTGATTGTTGATATTAAAAAAGAACATATGTAGTATAATAGTAACATGAAACTGAAGAGATCCGGTAACATACTTGCCACATCGATACACCATCAAAGTCTCGCTTTCAACTCTTACACGCCTAAGCTCGGAGAGTGTCTTTAAACGGCTCTTAGCCATTGTTGACTCAAACATAAACAGCATAAATAAGGTAAACAAACTATAGTACCAGTATTCATCCAAACACCACAAACCCACACAGAAGACCTGCATAAGATGAGCAATTAGAAAAAATATATATATAAAGTAAATGATTATATGAAGTAAATTACAAAGACTAAAGAATTTAGAATATAAAAATGAAAATCAGTACAGAAAATGGAGAAATGAATATAAACCATATCAAACCTGGAAGACAAAAAAAGGCTCAATGCATTGTTCTTTCATTAATTTCTGGAATGTGGGCTGAGGATATTCAAATCTACAATCAGAAAAGTAAGATTAGGAGCAGAAGGAAGCATAGTTGTCATGGCGTATGGCAACAGTCATGGCACAATGTCCATGGCGATGGCGCATTTATGGCGTCACCACATGACAGAAAAATAGATGCTAAAAATATGAACTATAGACACTAAAAATCTATGATTCACACACCAAAAGATGAGCACAAAGTTGAATACCCACATTCTAACCAAAACATGTGAAGTTAAAATAGTTTAAAGTAGTTCCATAAAATAACTTAATATCCAAAAAAGAGTTCCATGTCTTCCAAAAAATGTCAACATGCTTGTGTTTAATGATTATGACATTATCATCATCAATTTCACACTCATCATTATCATCTGAATTAAAATCTGATAATAATGGAACATCATCCTCATTCCTCATTCATTTCACTCTCACAAGGATCTTAAATCTCATCCCTCTCATCTTTGTCTTGCAGGAGTTGCAGCTGATGTGGTGTTGACTTGTTGTTGTTGCCCTTTAGTTGTTTCCCTCTTGTGCAACTTTCTGACTCCATAATTACGTTAGCTCACTTAGTTGAGCAGTTTTTCTAGCTTTACGTTAGCTCACTTAGCTGGTGTCTTTATTTACTTCTTATTAGGGCTTTTATTAATATTAAGGGCTGACTGATTAGTTAATTAATTATCAGGGCCAAAGCCAAAAAGAAACTAAGTAAACCTCTTAAGATCTGTTTAAAAAATGGCACATATGGTGAGGCGATCATAGTAGACAAAATTGCAATCCAACTCATAGCAACGGACTATTTATGACTCGCCTTACATGGCGGCGATCCAGATCCTTCGTAAAATAGGAAAAGGATCAAATCGGTAGACTCGCCGATTAGAATTGTAAAATCGGTAGAAGTATAGCTGATTGTGACCCATTTTCAAGAAGGAAATGGCGGAAATAAATGAAGGGAGGGAAAGTCGGAAAAGGCTGGAAAAGAAAAGCGAAAACGGCGGAAAAAGAAAGAGATAAAATTTAGGAAAATTGCTGAAATTTTGAAGCAGAATTTTGCATTAATACAGATCTTCAATTTCAGTCTTCAGCCATCGTGTTTTTATTTTAATATATTAAATATTATATTATTATTTTTAAATAACATTTTGTTTATCATCCCCATCAACGACAAATCTTCTGTCCTGTGTTCTGAACATCTCCAGAAACTCTCTCCTCTACTAATCATCTACGGTTCTGCCAATATAGTTAAACCTTCAAGCTACTATTTTCCTGCTTTGTTTTAAGATTTAAAAATACTTTATACTTTATATCTATGTGTATGTATATGTATGCATACACATATGTGTGTGTATTTATAGTAGGATCTTAAGATCTGTGTCACGATCTCTGGATTTTCGATTTTTTTTTCTCAACACGATCCTTCGTAGGATCTTGAGTTTGACTACCTTGGTGGCGAGGAGATGGCACCAATGTGGCCCGCCATGTGTAGACTGATTGCCAGGAGGACTTTTGTGGCGAGAAGGCTTTGTATCACCTTGCGCCATTGACAACAATGGAAGGAAGAAACTAAGACAATGCATAAACCCAAATCTGACTACAATAAGAAATGTTTGAACCCTTAATTGCCAAGAATGCAAATAGGAGACAAGAAAGTTGAATGTTGCATAAGAAGTATTTTGAGCACAAGTAGCTAATGCTCCACCTTTCTGAAGTGATCACTGCCATTCGGGAGGGTTAAAACCCAAAAAATGTAACTGGAATACATTTTCATACTTCCGTTTACTGCACTTCTTTTTTTGTAGAGAAAATGTTTAACTAAAAACTAATGGAGTAAAGAAGATTGGTCACTTTTAAAGAAACAGCTCAATAGTGAAACTACAGAAGTAGCATTTGAAATAGGTTTTTTACTAGAAGCAGAGATTGAAAAATTATTGGATAAATGAATTTCAGTTATAACAGAACTTATTTTCATAAGAAGACAAATGATAGTATTGTTTGTAATTGCACAATGCAATTGCGCCTCATTGCACGCCTCAGCTAATTATTGGACTACGACGTAAAAGCCATTGCATATGGCGTTAGGAGTGTGGCGTACGCAATATTGCGGTGAGGCTTACGCAATATCGCATACACAATAAGGCATACACAATAGTACGTTAGGGTGTAAGGGTATTATTTGGGCTCAATTGACTCACTTCTTAACTTTTATAATTAGCATATTCTGCATTTATGATCCCTATTTCAAACTACTAGATAATGATGATTTGATTTTGCCGCCATCAATCTAATAAACTTAGAGCATCTCTAATGCTACAATGTGCACGGTGCACATGTGGCATTAGAGATAGCCACATAAATATTAGTAAATAAATTATCTCTCTCCTTATTTGAATGCTTTTATATAATTTTGATAAGTTTTTCTCCACAATGTCAAGAAGACCGTCTAGATGTTGACATTGTGATTGAAATAAGAAGAGAGATAATTTATTTGCTAATATTTATGTGGCTATCTCTCATGTCACATGTGCACTGTGCACATTCTAACATTGGAGATGCTTTTAAAATTTTATTGTTAGGAATTTTGTAATGATAGCAGTTCAAGAATGTTTGCTATCTTGTGGTACTTTGAACATTTTACTTTGCTAGGATTATGGGTCTCATTGTAATTTGTTATAATATGACATTTGATAACTTATAGCGAGTAAGTTATTTTATTTTTTATTGTGTTTACATATGCGTGCTTGTGTATATATTACGCCTAAGGCATACGCCTCATTGCGCAATGAGGCTTACGCAATATGCAATTTTGAAAAAATGGCACGACTACACAATACGCAATTTCATACCTTTAATGATAATGACGTCAGAAACAGCATGTAGTCTAAGCCAAGTCGAAAGCATATTGGTTGTTTTACTTCATTAGGTTTCCACTCTTTTATTTCTATCACTATTCAATTTTGAGGGGTGTTTATGGAAAGCCAAGAGAGCTTACCGGGTTAGGAATATAACACAAGTGTCCAAGAGAATTCTCCCTAAGCATCCTTATATGTGAAAACCATTATGCAATTAACAATATAAAATAGTAAACACAAAGGTGACTTACACATTTCGGCCCCACTTTTCAATAGCAGCAATAACTTTAGCTTCAGTTCCATAACCAGTGTTCTTGAGATAGTATCCAAATGTTTCCTTGGAAGGATAAGGAAGCTTACAGAATGTCCCCTTCTCCATTGAATAGATAAACTGTTGCTTCCTGAAATCAAAATAAATCTCTTCCAGATCTTCAGATGATGAAGATGGCAACTGCAGAAGCAAAGAATTATGTTAAAGCTATGATAGGCACTCGGATGAGAAGCCTATTGAGTACTTTAAAAGAGTTTATCACAGGAGGAATAAACAAGTAGTTAGTTAGTTAACTAATTAGTTAGCTGGCAGTTGGACATCCCTGCGTGGATGAAGGCTATAAATAGAAGGTTAATAGCTAGAAGGAGTAGGCTGAAATCAAAATAAATCTCTTCCAGATCATAAATCACAGTAGGCTGTTAATTGACTCTGGAGATTGGGCATCTCGAATGGTCCTATGAACCGTATATCTTCTGTAAATTCCTCTTTCATCAATAAACACTTTCTTGATCTTTTTCTTGATCAACTCTCCTAGACTCTCTATTGTTCTTAGTCGTATTTTACCAGTTTTCTATCAAGCTAAGAATGGCTTTACTCCTTTCACCTATTTATAATGGAAAGTAAATCAAAATTATTGAACCAAACGAAACAAACAACAACAATAACCAAGCCTTAGTCCCAAAGATTTTGGGGTCGGCTAACATGAACTGATCCATGATATCAGAGCCAAAAAGAGAAGAAAGAGAAGAAAAGTAAAAAGATTTTGGGGTCGACTAACATGAATCGATCCATGATATCGGAGCCAAAACGAGAATAAAGAATGGGTGGCCCTAGTATTCTATCCTTCTAGGATATTGTCACACATCATTATATAGGTCTGTGAAAGAGACACTTTATAAGGGGAAAAAAGGAATAGAACAGTGTATTCTATATTTAGGAAATGCTTTATAATTATAGAACTAGTAACAGTAGGCTAATGACATTTAATTCTAATTAAACAACATCAAACATATGGAGAAAGAATGGAAAAGTAGCTGAAACTTGAGAATGGAAAAGTTCAAGCATGTACACAAAGCCATAAAATTTCACTTATGTTTCATTGTTTCCTACCTAGCTACCTAAATTAATTCCACTTTATTCCCTCAACAATCATCTCATTTCTATTTTTAGAATATATTAAGACTTGAGGTTCCATCTTACAAGGTCAACCTAATATGAGTAGCTCGGAATTTATATGTTAGTTTGTAAATTATACACAACTGGTGTGGGATAGGCGGATAGCTTAATAGAATAGCTTAAGAGAATTGGCCAAAAGCTTGACCACATTTTTCACCGTGACACAAATTCCATCCAAATAGGCAATGGAGAGTAATGAGTGAAGGCTCCTTCTTTGGTGTTGAGGTAAGCTAAGTGGTGCTTTTGTACAAAAATAAAATCAAACGCACCATAGGTGCTACTTAGGTGAGGCGGTGTTTTGAAGAAAAAAACTGATATGGCATGAATGTTTCATTGGGGACAGCAGTTATAACTACGAGTCCCACCACAGCAGTCAACTTTCACTTCAGCGCTCTCAACTCACAGCCAAAATAAAGAGGCCTTAGATTTACATAGAATTCCAAAGAGGGGCTAAAATTTTGGTGCATTAGTCTTTAGAATAGCTTAATACTAAATCAAGCCAGTTTTTGCAAGGGCAATACGTATGTATTTCCACAACCGCTGACGGGATAGAAATAGAAATAATCACTCCCTCTGTTTCACATTGGTATTCCTATTTCATTTGCCATGGAGTTTAAAAGTAGTGGAGATGTGAGGGTACAGACAAGAGACTGTGAGGACAGTGAAAAGGCGAGGGGATACTTTAATGGTAGTCGTGAGAAGAGGTACGGAAAAGAGAGAAGTGAAAAGGTAAGGGAGAATTTAATAGTTGGACCCTTTGCAAAATAGGAAATGAGAAGAATAATTTGGAAAGTGGAACACAAAGAGGAACGTAGGAACATTAATGTGAAACGGAGGAATTATTTGCTACTTCATTTTCAAGATGTAACATATAACATGCATAGAATTACAAATATATTATCACCCAAATGAAATTGAGTTCTGAACCTTTCTGAAGTGTAGGGACACAATTTCTTTAGAGCCACAAAACTTTGCTGGGGTAACTTTGCAGGCATCAGCAAGATGAATGTCATAAACCTGCAAACATAATGATTCACATAGATTCAAATTTCGATTCACATACATTTTAGTAACAAAATATTCAGATTTTGAATCAAATTTCAGGTGTTGCGGAAATAAAAGAACAGGCAAATGTCCTTCATTACTCCTTGTGACTAAAGAGTAAAGACAATAGTAACCTTTACAAAGTCACAAGCAATGCATCCCAATAGGCATAAAAGTTCGTTGGAAATTAAACAAGTGTAGAAACTTATGACAGGTGGTTTTCGAAATTTGGAAATAAACATCATTCAGCTCAACGGAATAGTACTCTAAGAGACAAAAGAGTAAAGAAAGTAGGCCAACGATAAGTTGACAAGGAAATCTAGCTCCAAGTTCTAGTTGAGTGATCATTTGGTCACTTTTGTACTTAAAACACATGTAGTCTTCCAGATTTTGAAATTACACATATCATTACCTCTCATTGAGAATCAAACAGGGGAAAGGAGTAAGCCATCTGATATAAAAGTGAATATTCAGTTCGAGATATGTGTGAATAAAAATTCTTCCATGGCCATCATGCACAAAATGCCAAAATGGTCTCAGAAAGTTTCAGAGAATAGCAACATTATGGTTAAGTTTTCTTCCAAATAAGAGCAACAGCCTGTCAGTGTGCAACAGTTGATAACTTGACAATACTTTTGATCACATCTTGTTCTCAACTACTCAACTAGAAAATCACACATTTGAAACATCTTTGGAAACAAAGGTAACCACCACCACCAACAAAGGCATGATTTATAGACAATGTGTGAACTACAGTCATGGTCATGATGAAAATTGAGTGGAAGCAAAATCATTGGAACAGAGTAGGAGCCATTTATAATGCTAAGTAAAGTTTAGAGAGATTGTAAGGGGGTGAGATTGTAGCACTTTTCAAGCTGATTTTTCTAACTCTTAAAAGTTGGAACTTGGAAGCAACACAAAAACTCCCAAACCTAGATTACACCAAATAGGCAAATACTAATTAAAAAGAGTGTTACATTTCCATTGTGAAGAAAATCTAACAAAGCACTCTTCTTTCCTTTTAACCCCATCAAACTAATAGTAGTGTCCAAAACAAGTAGGTGGATTTAAAAAAAAAACTGCCTTTATTGTGTTCATCTTTTACCAAAACGTTACCACCATCTTTTTTCCCATGCCAATCTTTAGCAACAAAGAATATAAAGGCAATATGAAGCCTAAAAACGTATTATCTCCCACCCTCGTAATTTACTCCGCAATTTTTCCTTAGAAGCAGCAGCAGCACTGGACATAGAATTTATGAATATAAATAATAATGACTACAATACCAGCAAATTCATATTAATAGAATCTTTGGCGCACAAGAACACAAATTCAAAAACACTTCAATCAACCAAGTGTTTATTTAAAAACACAAATAACACAGCAATTTTGGTAAATTGCAGTCACAACAGATAAAAAAGGAGAGACACGTGAGCAAATAATAATAATAAGGGAAAACTGTCAAATAGGTCCTCGAACTTTCATAAAAAGGTCGATTAAGTCCTTCTATAGGAGGTTCTGTCCGGTCGCGACGGCCGGAAATTTTTTTGATGAAATTTTTTGATCATCTTATTCACCAAGTCTAGTTTACTCATACCAAATTTCAGCTAAAAATTCATTCGGAACACATTCAAATTAATTCTTTAAGATAACTGCGCATTTTTGCGTTCTCGAATTAATTTGAATGCGCTCCAGATTAATTGGTATGAGTAAACTAGACTTGATGAATAAGATACTCAAAAAGTTTCATAAAAAAATTCCACCAGAACCGCTTAAATCTATTTGACAGTTTTCCCTAATAATAATAATAATAATAAGCATAAAAGACGAACCTTGGAATACTTGATAAAGCATTTGAAATCGATGGACCAAACAGTAAAGAGGAATACGAGAATATGGGAAACTGCCCAAATCTATTTGGACCAAAAAATTTCATAAAATGGACCAAAATATTTTATAAAAAATGGTCCAAAAAAATTTCACAAAAAATATGGGAATTTTATAAAATAGATTTCATAAAAAATCTATTGGGAAACAGTAAAGAGCATAAGATGGACCAAAAAAATTCATAAAAAAATTCCACCATAAAAATTTCATAAAAAAATTTCACCAGAACCGCCCAAATCTATTTGACAGTTTTCCCTAATAATAATAATAATAATAATAATAAGCATAAAAGACGAACCTTGGAATACTTGATAAAGCATTTGAAATCGATGGACCAAACAGTAAAGAGGAATACGAGAATATGGGAAACTGCGATGCCGCCGAGAACTATACAGGCGTCAATGAAATCTAAGCTAGGAATGCCGACTGCTAGCCAAATCAGATATGAAGTCACGAATGGCCAGAGGTCGAGACGCCATACCCGGCGTCTCTTCCTCAGTAAATCCACACTCTCAACCACTTTTCCTCCGACTTGGAACCTCGTCATGTCTGCTGGGGACAAAAAAATCGGTCAGGACCTATATCTGATATTCGACTCAAATCGTGGGTGTATGGGATATCAGATGTCAGACGGCGAGGAGTTTTTCTTGTCGAAGACCAGAGGCGGGTAAAAATACAAGAAAAATTGGTATACCGTGATTACCATAAAAATACCTGAAAATATTGGACTATTGGTACAGGTCATTTTTGGTATAATATCATATTGTATCAATTTATTTTGATAAGGTAACAGTAAATGTTTTCAAATACCGCGGTATATCGGTATAATACCGCACTGACTCCCTACTGATGGATAGTGTACCCGAGGTAGCTTATCCAAGGGGTTATCTCGGGGAATAACCTAGAGAGAAATCAGAGCAATAAGTAAGAGAGAGTGTATATTCGAGTAGGAAAGTTGTGGTGGTTTACAACGGAGAATGGGCTGCTATTTATAGCAGTAATAAATGTGATGGGAGTACACGTGTCAACAATCTAACGGTCGAGGGGTCACCTCAATCGGGATGGTACCGGCATGCGCATGTGCACCGCATTAAATGGGGTGGGCGGATGTGACGTCGCATTAAATGCGGTTGTTGCTTGTCTCCAAGGGGAATCTTCGATGTTTGTGTTGTAGCCGAAGGCTCCCCCGTGACCGGGGGCTCTCTGTAGCCGAAGGCTCCTGATTTCTGCCGTTTTCTCCCAGTAGGTTTGTATGTGTAAAATTAGTTGTACTGTGAGTTTTTGGGACCTTCGGCCATGGGGCCGAAGGCACCCGTATGTGCACCGCGTGCTTCTTGACATTTGAGTCGCTGTTCTTTGGGCCTCATGTGCTTCTTGGGCCCGTTGGGCCTGTGTTAGAGTAGTATGAGTCTGTGGACCGGGGGTCCGTGGTCCATATACTCCATCAGGAGTCCCTCACTCCTTTTGCCGAAAGGTACTTGAGGGAAAAGGAGTACTTTGCGTTTGTCCTCTGGTGCTGGCGTTTGCTTCGTTGTAGTTTGTAAAGTAGTGAGGGTTTGTGTTGTGTGATTTGCCGAGAGCAGTCCCTCGGTCCCTCATATTTTGGGACTGAAGGATCATGTTGATAAGCTTTTAACATTTTGTGATTTTCCCAAAGGGGTTCTCCAGTCCCCCATTCCTTGAGGCACATGTAATGTGGTGAGAAAGGAGTAGAACAATGTTTGTTTTTAGTATAGAGACCGAGGGCTGACGCTTTTCGCTTCATTTTGGGGGGATGTCTCGCTAAAAACCTCATTAGAAAAAACCCTATGGGAAAAATCCTAATGAGGAAAAAGGAGTGCACCGTGTTCCCCCAATGATGAATCGAAAAGGTGGACCTTTGGTCTGAGTACAATGTTGAGGCCGAGAGTTGTCCACGATCTGAGGGCTTTCTCGCTGATTGGTCGAAGGCCGCCTGTGGATATTCTGGGGATGCTGAGGGCAGTCCCTCAATTATTGAGGGCTGAGGGCTCCCGAGAGGTTATCCCTGATCTTCATGCTGGGGGCTAACCCTCAGTGAAGGGGTTTGAATGTGTTGCCCCGATGGCTTGCTTGTTGTTCGCCTGGAGGGTGCTTGCTGAGGGCACCTCTGTGTTTTTGGAAAATAGTCATTAGGATATGATCGTTGGAGAAGGCGTCCACGTGGCGCGTGTTGGTTGGCCTATGTTGGGCGGGTGGCACCGGTTGGCTGAGGCGGCGGATTGTAATGATGTTTTTTGGAACCGGGGGCCCAGTTCTCGGCCCAGGCCCGGAATGGGGCAGCTATAAATACCCCAGGCCTAACCTCGTTCTCCTTTACGCATTCTTGTTTTAGCGAAGCTCTGGCGAAAAATTTCTAGAGAGAGAAACTCCTTTTCGATCAAACCCCAGCCCCTGAGGTCAGTTCTTCTTTGTTATTGATACTTTCTTGCATATTTTGCTTCCCGAGCCTTAGATTCAGTGTTAGAGCCTTAGATTCAGTGTTAAAGCCGTATAATTTCTTAGGGATCCTCTTCTGCTTCAACCCCTCTGCTACTAGTCCTTCAAAATGTCGTCGCAAAGCGATTCCCAAGATATCTCGAGGGAGCCCTTGGCTGAGGTTGAAAGCATCTTCGATGTGGAGTCTTCGAGCGAGCAGTTCTCGGTTAGAAATGATTCGAAAGTTGCCGTCGAAGTCCAGAACCAGCTCATGGCCGAGGCCAGAGCCGAGGAGTTCGAGCAAGTGATTGAGGATGAGGAGATGGCCATTGATGTTCAAACTGTCGAGGAAGAAGAGGAGAAAGAAAGGCATAGGGTTACCGTCGTTGTCCATCCCCCTCGTAATTCTGGGGAGGCCAGCAAATCCCGACCACTCAATCCGGAGCCTCTCAGGGTGGCCCCCGGGAAGAGGATCAAGAAGAAGGTGGAGGCCCCCAAGCAGAAGGGGAGTGCTGCCGATTCTAGGGAACCCATCGGCATACCGGAGGGCTGCTCTTTTCTGAATACTAATGCCCTGGAGTTGAAGTCGAGGGTAGATAGGGCGGAGTGCTACGTCACGCATTTGCATGTTGGGCCTTCGGCGACTGTTGTGGAGCCGAGCCCGGATGATGTGCTCTTCAGGGCTCCCGAGGGGTGTTTCGCGGTGCATGTTCTCTCGGTTTCCATGGGCCTTCGGTTCCCACTACACCCCTTCCTCTGTGAGTACCTTCGGTTCATTGGGTTAGCCCCCTGCCAACTAACCCCAACTAGCCACTCATATATCGTCAGCTTTCTGCACCTCTATCGGTCTCGAGGGGTAACCCCTACCCTCTATTTGTTCTTCCAAAGCTTCAACCTCTGCCGGGGGGTCACACGAATGCCGGGGGGTTTGCCAACCTCCAACAGGTTCCCCAATGGAGGCTCTTCTCCGACTGCCTTCGTCACATAAAGGCTGGAGGGGTCGGTTCTGCTATATCAGAATGGAGGAGAACCCTAAGGTGGGGAGTGCTGCCCTCGAGAAGAGTGGGGAGAAGATAACAGCTTTCCCGGAGGGGTCCAACAAACTTGCAACGATTAGGGGCTCTACTCTTCCGGACGATTTGTACGCCCTGGGCTTCCGGCGCTATCGTTTTCTGGGGGAAAAGGATGAGAAGTACCCCCCTGTTTGGTCGAGTCTTTGAGAGCACTAGAGGTGGTTCGCGAAGGCTTTAAGCTTTTTGTACTTCGATAAATTTCGCATCATCAATTTTTTCTTTCCCTCGCATTTGACCCCTCGGTCTAATTCTTCATCGTTTTTGCAGGTGCTAACATGGACGTGAAATCTCTCTTCGCTTTGAAGAAGCAGAAGGCAAAGGCTCAGAAGGAGCATGTCAAGCAGAAGCCTGTCGAGGCCATCGAGGAACCTTCTGCAGCTGTCGCGGGCGAGGCCAGGGGTCCCAAGCCATGGCGGCTTCCAAGAAGAAAGAGGCTGGAAAGGGGGTGACTCCCCGGCGAAAAAGCACAAGCTGACCGATCCCGGTAAGCAGCCCGCCTCTGATGAGGTCATTGTTGTGGATGAGGGGGTTGGCTCTGGCCCCCCGCCTCAGGAGTTCGTTAATGAGGATTTTTTCGACCAGGAGAGGCTGGAGGCTGTCGTACCAAGGGGCAGCTCTATTTTGGAGGCTACCTTAAGCCCCTCGGTGCTTATGAACCAAGTGATGCCCTAGGGTGATAGGGTAGCCCTCGCCCATTTGGACAACGAAGCCCTCAGCTCCAAGCTCCTTCTGCACAGCGTTTCGGTAAGTTCCCTTTCCGCCCTTGCTTTCATTTATTCTTTTTTTGTGCGAATTATGTAACATGGCTGACCCTTCATACTTTTTCCTATTTGCAAACTTTGATGGGCCTCTGTGAGCACGTCCGGAGGGTGGATCAAATCCTAAAGGACAAGGCCGCTGCTTACGGGGAGATAGCTAGCCTACAGAGGAAGCTGGCTGAGGCGGAAGACACCCTCCGGTTGGCGACGGAGGGTGTGGAACAACGGGTGCAAGCTGCCAAGGCTGAGGGCATAGCCGAGGCCGGGGTCGCAACTGCTGAGGAGACTGAAAAGGCGAAGGCTGGGGAGGTGGCCAAAGCTGGGGGAGCTGCCCTTGAGGCCTTCATGGCCGAGGGCTGGATGGTCGAGGACAAGAATGACTGGGTCTCCTCGGTTGTGGAGAAGAAGGTCGATGCCTGGGTCGAGGGCCCTGGTAGAATGTGGTTGGCCGAGAGAGGCGACTGCTATTATCAAGGGGGTGAATTCTTCACCCAGCGCTTGATATACCAGAGGCTAGCCCGACACTTCAACATCTCCCCGGAGGAGTTCGATCCGCAGGCGTATGGCCTCCCCCCTCAGCACCCAAATGTGAGAGTCCCCCTCCCCCCGGGTGAAGAAAGGCCCGTGATTGAGGACTCAAAGATGATGGGGGACGGTGGTGACTGGTAAAGATGATGTTGTCGATGACGATGCCTCCTCCAAAGCTGCCGAAGGGGGCGCTGCTGATGTTTGATAATATTTGTAATCCTTCTCTGTGATGTATAAACAATTTTTGAACGCTATGTTGTGGTTATTTCTCCCGCTTCCGGCTTCGGCTTTTCATGTATAACAATCTATATTTTTTGTGAATGAATGCCTTCCTCTTTTTGATGAATGAATGTTTTGTTGATGCCTTCGTTTTCCTTTCATGCTTCCTTTTTATGAATGTATGTCTGCACCATGAATGGACCGAGGGCCAAGCATTTAGGACTTAGAAAAATTTTCGAAGTGATGCTTACCACTAGGCCCTAGACATTGAAATCTATTTCCAGTTGTATGAAATAGCTAGCCTTCGTCATCTATCCCCGGGGGGTTGGCGTTTAAGGACTTAGCCATTTTTTGGGTAATGTTATGAACATGCCCTCAGCTGATATTATGCCTCAGCATGTGATGCCCTCGATTTGTATTAGTCTTGGGCAAATTTCCCTTAGCAGGGTACGAACGTGTCGGGGGCACCTAATTTATGGACTTAGAAAAATTTCCATCGAGTTTGCAACTAGCAGCCCTCTGTAGAAGTGGGGAGTTAGAGAACCTCCATTTTATTCATAGAATAGAAGCCTCCGGTGTTGATTGTGGTGCCGGAGGCTACGGGAGTGTGGACTTATGAACTTTGAGCTCATGTTTGTGAGCAGGCGCCTTCGGTAATGTATAGTAGGCGC